TTTGGTTCTTTCTTTCTGTACTGAAAAATTAAACTTCTGTAAGGATTCAAACAGTAACTAAGCTCAAGCTGCAGCTTTTCTCTTACTGCTTATTAATAGGATCTGCTTGGCTATCTCATGAAATCTCTTGGAACTTAGTGGCCTCGAGAATGGCTGAAATTGGCCACTGGTGTAAAAAGCCATTGGGAGAACATTTTACACCCACACATACATAAACGTGCACAGAGTATCATTGTAGATTTAAATAATATTTGAGTAATGCCCTTACATTTAAAATAAAGCCTAACACTCGGTCAATATAACTTAAAGCTGCTGTCTTTTCTTTCAAAAATTATATACATGAAAATAGAGACAAAAAACCTCATCTTGCACGTCTCAGTTTCCCTTGATCATTTCATCAAGACAAGAATGCTTAGGAGAAGTGCTAATTATATTATTCTAAACCCATTCTGTGTGGTAAATTGAACATTGTGAAAGCAAAGTTGGGCTATATAAGATCAACGGAGCAAGTTACTTTTAAAGGCATTTTATCCTGAACTGGTGAATATGTAAACTAAATGATCCAGTCTTTCCATTTGGGAATCTAGCTTTGCCTTTGTTTCAGATTCCTAGGAAATAATTGAGAGTATGGCCTGGGATCAGAGAGGATCTGGTAACTGCGTTGCAATTACTGAACATTCAAGAAATAATCCTTGTGAGAAGACCACACTGAGATTACAAAGCGTTTATCGATAAAAGTTTTTGAGTATTTCTGTGGCAAACCAGAGCTTGCCTGTAGATGGCACCAAAGACAGTCAAGTTCAGCCGTGAAATCTACTCAGGGTGAGAGAAAACCAAGGAACTGAGAATGAGAACAGGTTAACAGGTGGGCGTTCGTGGGCAAGCAAGAGAAGACGAAGGAACAGATATTTAAAAAAAAAAAAAAGTCTAGTCTACCAAATCACTCGAAAGACTGGAATATAAACAGACTAAGTTGAAAACTCAGAAATAATTCCAGAGGACTTACCTTTAATGGTGATCAGGAAGAACAGGTTATTTTGTCTGTCTAACAAAACCAGGTTTTACTGTGTTTATTTTTATGCTGGCTAAGTATTACAGTCTGTTAGGGAGATCATTGCAAATACAAGATCAGTTTGTTCTGGAAGCCTGGGAGTTAGAGCAGAAAGTTAGTATCTGGGAAATGTCAGCTGACTGATATCTAGTTGTGATGAAACTGATGTGATTCCCATTGAGTCAAGTATTTGCATATTCTACTTTGACATAAGTTCCCCTTTGAACTTAGGGTCAATAATATCTTTGTAACTGCAGGCGTTGTCTAGGGGTACCTTCTTCTCAAACTGCAACCGCTGTGGTGATCTGATTGTCTTTTCTGGAACCTGATATACAAAACCTCTGAATTTCTTGTTTTCATGAGCATAGGACATGCTGTAAGCAAATCAAAAGTTATGAAGCAGCCATATCCCAACTGCTAGGTAGTGTGCTCTATAAGCCTTCGGTACAGAAAGTGTACCAGAAAGTCCATACCAATGTAATGGTGTGTTTCTGTGCTTGCAGGCAAAAGCAATATGGAAATTAAATTTCATAAAATGTGAGCACTTTAAATTAGTTCATATTCCACAGCATCCACTTATTAAAATGTTTTAAAATACATGAACAATTAAGCATGAAAATGTTAGGTACATGTCTGTTCAGGGATTTAGTCAAGATGTATCTATTTCAGTAACCCATTCCAGGCAATGAATCCAGCCTTGGCCCCCTCTGCCCACACTGTTTGTGTGAAGAGCTCCAGGCGCCTCCGATGATGCTGAATCAAAGATTTTCCACATGGGCTGGCTGCTAACTCAAAGAAGAAACTTTACCAGTCTATGTGTGCAATGAATGTCCTGACATCCCCTTGCCCTTTCTGTGCTGTCTTACTTGTTAGAAGATGACTCTGAGATTTCGAACAGTTGGAGAGCTGAAATTGAATCTGAAGTTTACAAATGGCTCTAGGTTGGGATTTCCAAAGGAACATGAAGTTAGAAGGCAGCAGGCTTCCACTTAATACCAGGAGATTTTACCTAATGCATGATTCTGCTCCTTTATCAGGACAACCCAAAATTTTGGTTTAAGAGAGATGGTGGATTCAGTGGCTAGAGCACTAGGGTGGGTTTGGGATATTGGGTTCAACACCCTGGCACTCCATATCCTTTTTCTAAGAGCTTGTGTAGGATAATCAATTTCTTTATGTTTAATTCCCACTTAAAGAGATCATAGTATGTCTTTATTGCACAAGTATTGGGAGGATTAGAGATTAAACTGCTCATACAGGGTAATGAGGGGACTGAGGTGTGTCTGAGAACTCAGTCTTTGGGCTCAGTGGAACTCAGATCTGCCACTCACAGTTTGGGTCGCTCTCTAATTGTCTTAAGTAAAGGTAAAACATATAAACAACATTTCCTTTGTCCTGGGAATTATGAAGTAGTAGTATATTGAGTAGGATGGTCTTACTCTAAACCTGAGAACAGGTTATCAGTGTGATAATACAGGGTGTTGTTAGATCCTTTCTGATTCGATGTAGCATAAACAATTTCTAACAGAATTTTTGTTTTTAAATGTGTACTTAGCAGTGTTTTATTTGTTTACTTCATTCATAAAAGCTTGGTGCAGAGGATTTAATCCTTGCTTATTAGACTGCCCAGAGAGGTTACAGAACCTCCATCCTTGAAGATACTCAAACTCAGCTTGGAGCAGTGTGCCCCAAGTTGGCCTTCTGAGGAAGCAATTGGACCAGAGACCTCCAGAGATCCTTTGCAGCATGAATTAGTCTGTGATTCTATATCTTAATTGTGGTAACGTTGTGACATCACCATTTGTCTCTTCGCTACTTCAGATGGCATCCACATAGACATCCTGCAATCAAAGGTTTTCTCTAGCGCAATGACGGTGTCAAGTTCAGAGAACACTCCCTGCTATTCCCTAAAAAAAATGTGGCCTGCCACTGGCTGAACTTGAATTCATTGAAATGAACCTTCCAAGAAAATGTTACATTTTTGCAAGTTGTTTCCTTTAGGTGGAAAATATTCTCTTCTGTTTTGGTTAGCTCTAAAAATGTGGATCCTAGTGCCAACAGAAGACTTCATAGGGACTAGGTGTTGTTTTTTGCTGAACAGTCTATGAGCTTTTTTTGAAATTGGGGACTTCTTGGAGTTCTATTGTAATTCCTTCTGATGAAATGGCTTCTTGTCACGAGTTACTGTTTAAGAAGAACAGATTTTCTCATAAACACAATTCTCTAAGTTTTACGTAAAGTTGCAACATAGACAAAAATTGTCTGATTCTCAGAAGTACTTAATTCCCCCTTGTGGCAACAGAAGGCAGTGATTTAGCATCTCTGAAATACAGGATAGGCCACTATGTAGTCTTGCATTTCTCGCATGCCACATGAGACTTTCAGATGTGCAAGGAATGCAGTATCAGGTCTGTCACTTATGGTATTGTGTGTGCCATCTGCTTGTGAATTACTGACGTGATATTTTAGTGATCAGCAGTGTGAAGAGCTAATGTATATGTTACATCTGTATATTACTGCAGATCTGGATTGCTCTGGGTTTTTTCCTCATCAGATAGGAAAATGAATAACGTAAAAGGAAGCAACAGTCTCTCATCATTATGCAAAATATTTCAGTGCTGCAATTAACAGCAGCTATAATTTAAGCCCAGATTTAACATCAAAGGCAGTGAGGAGAGAATTAGGATTTATATTCATTATAATTCTGCCAAGGCTTCAGTGAGTCTCATTGCTAGAATTCCTCTTTTGCATTAGCCGTCTTAAATCTGCCAAACAGCTCTCTTACATGCCTGGGTATGAGTGAGCTGTACTTGCCTCACATAATCATCTCGCAATTCATGGAAATGCCAACGTTGAATGTTACATAAAAGTTCCAGAAGGCTTTGTTTCTGCTCTTCTTCGAAACAGCTGCCAAATTATGTTATAATTATCATCCAGTTTCAGCAGGGAGTATTAAAATGACAGTCTACTTGTGAGCTGGAACCACGTCATGGTAGATGGGAAGGGAGACAACTAAATGTTGGTGGGGAAATTTCCAACCCACTCAGCCAGAAATGCACAACATCTACTCAGTCTATTGAGCTCTGCATTTAACCATGGCCATTATTTACTTTGTCCATTAATGAAGACAATGCTATAACTAGCTGTAAATCCTGTAAGACACTTATCAAAGGAAAGACTAGTTCTTAGTAATTTTCAAACTTAAGAAAATTGCAAATATTATGGATTATATAGATGATTATTCATATAATAAATGAAAGAATTGAGTAATGGCCATTATATAGCAACGTAGCAGAGCTTTAAGGTAATCAAACAGCAAGACTGGCTGTTGTTTCATCTGTAGGGAACACAGCAATTCACACGTGTGGCAACATATTATTGTTTTGTACATATTAGGAGATAATAAGCAACATGTTCATGATTCACAGAAAAACCTCCAGGCCTGTGGCCCATGTTGTCAGGGGACTGTGACTTGTGACAGTGTCAGAGTTGGGATTAGACCCTTCTCCTCTATCTCACACCTGCCTTAGATTTCATGAAAGATAAATCTTCTTAAGGGAGAGTTACATTTTAGGCCATAAACACTTTCTGACGATACATGCTGTAGCCTAGTACTTAATTTTGTAAAATTACCCACAAACTTATTCCATGCTTTGAGCTATGTGCCAACTCCTCTTAATTTTTTTCTCATATTCTCAGGGTTGGGACTTAATATAAATTATTTTTAGCTATCTTGTTAGCATTGCTTTTTCTCAAGGATCAGAGAATTAAGGAGAAATAAAACTCAATGAAATAAGTACAATTAAGCCTTAAAAGATGTCATAGTGTTTAAGATCATCAAAACTGTGCTTGGTGAATCAGCATGGTCAGGTATGAGGATGGAAAACCTAAACAAAATCTAAAAAGCAGCTTTTTCGCCCCAGGTTGTTTGTTTTTTTTTTTTTTTTTAATTTTTTTTCCTCCCCTCTTCCAGCCGCAATTTCAACATTATGAGTGATTAAAAATCACAAAGTGCCTTCTTTACAATGGAAATGTAACAATACCAGATGACCAAAAATCTGTACATTGCAAGATTTCTGAGCAATCCCGTATGTGAACTTGATGTATGGGGAATTGTTAACACCTGAAACAATATAAAAATGTACAAACACATGCTGAGTGCGAAGTGCTTGTTGGACGAGGTAATTGGAAGAGTCAGTCCAAGGTTGCCTTTGGTCTAATGCTGTTTATGCCTTCACCAGAGATTGGAATTCTGTCAAGGAAGAAAATGAGAAAGGCAGGGAATAAAACTCGATGCAAGTGGTTTTTAACATCTTTAGAAAAGATAGATAAAAATGACTTAAACTCCTAGCCATGGAGGGCTCCCAAAGTTATTATAACACTGCACAAGCTACTGCTAAACTGAGATTCTGGGGGCGTAACAGATTTTTCACTCCTTAAAAAGAGTAAGTGCAGAGAGGAGGAGTGCGTCTGTAAATTCATATTTGTGGGAAATCCTGACTTAAGGGTAAACTATCTTTAACCCATTACAAACTCTGATAATAGCCAAGGAAGCAGAGAGTGAATTAGGTCAAGTCTGTAGCTTTCAATACGAGGATTTTTTGGTTTTGTTATTCCAAAGAAAAAATATCAGTAGTGATGTAATTTCAGAATGGGAGATTCAATGGTTAAGGGCGAAGATCTGCATAATATAATGCCCTATTTGGGGCTCATAAACAGAAGCTGGAAAAGCTGCTGCTAAGGCAAATTCCTCCAACAGTGTATCTCTCTCTCCTCCCAAACTCTGGCTAAGATTAGCACGTGTGTCTGTTAGAGTTATTGCCACCTGTCCTAGTTCAGCTGAGACAGCCCTGTTTTCAGTGACTTCATCTCTAATATATGATGCATAATGTCCTATTTTCCTTTGCTGCAATTTCTAAAAGAAATACCGTGGCCAGTTCATGCCATCCCTGTGAGGTTTTCTTGAGAAATTGGATTTAGTTTCTTGTTGAAGGACTGCCCAGTGAAATTTGCACTTATCAGATAATTCTCCAGCACAAAATTCTGTGCTGCATTGCAGCAGTTCTAGCCTTGAAAAACAATACCAGTCTTATTTTACATTACTGAATTAACCACTCAGTGATATTGGCCAATGTTTGATAGCGGTAGATGAAGAAATGAGTTTATGTAGGTGGAAGTATGTTTAAAAATGAAAGCGTCATATGGCCAGAAGTGCGGAGCATCCGTTGCCAAGATGGAAATTCAAAGAATGAATAGGTGTTCAGGATGTTAAAATCTGGCATATGAGTCTATGGATCAGACACACGGCAGAATTAACCCCAAAGCTGTTGTTATTGATTGGAAGAACAGGCTCTACATTGGGCCTAAATCTGCTGTTGCTGCAAGACACCAAATGGGAATAAAGCTATGAAAATAAAGGAGTATTCGCTAGTATAAAAATTGTGGCAGAAAGTACCAGGCCAAAGTACTTGGATGTATTCTTCATGCCACAGTTTAAATGCAGCCCTAAATGCATGCATTTTAAAACACAAATTTTAAAAGTTTCCAAAAGTCTTACCTTCCACTCCAATTTTGCCATCGCCATCAGTGTCCCCTGCAGCCAGAAAAGCCTTGGTCTCCGCAGAGGTGAGGACTCTGGCACTTGAAGAGAAATTCTTCAGAAACAGCCTGAAATAGAACAGGGTAGAGTGCTGTGCTTGAGTTTTATTCTCTGAAATATCCTTGGCATATTGGTATTTCTGTTTTTCTTAAATCCATGCCAAAAATCCCATAAGGTAATGCCTGCTCTTATTATCTGTGGAGATCCACATGAATTCAAAGAAAGACAAGGAATTGTGTTTTATTTTTAAAATAACAGCAAGATTCTTCTAGGACACCAAGCAAGTTCAAAGGTTTATATTGTTTAAAGAAATACAGCAGCTGAACAGTACTTACTGAAGCTCTTCTTCTTCGATGAAACCACTCTTGTCCTGATCAAGGATTCCAAAAACTTTCTTGATCTGATCAGGAGTTTTGCTGGATAAACCAACCGTGGAGAAGAAAGACTTGTAGTTGAAGGAATCATCAGCTGGAAGAAACAGAAGTTGTTTAAATATTTTCCCTTGAAGTTGCTACTGTTGTATGTATTCCTTGGGAATATGTATGTCTTTTCTTAAGCATCAGCCTGCTCTTCTTTCTCTTGTTCCCCGATGTAGCAAAAAAGAAGATATAGTGGATCATTTCCCTTTTTAACCACTCTGTGCCTGTGGTCATATATCCTTTCAGCCAGTTTGAAGTTTTCTGCTACAATGCACATTCTGCTAAATCAGTATTTATGCAATGATGTGTCACATGCAATTAATAATAAATATTTACAGGGTGCTACTGTGGCTTACAGACCAACTCCTATAATTACTTCATTTTCACTTAGTCCTTACTTTGGTGAAGAATTTGGTAGAAAAGTAAGTCAGTCATTCACAGTCAAACTAGCTCTTTGAGCCTTTGGAAAATTGGCTTGATCTTGCCGAGGAACTCTTAAGAGAACTGAGGCTGGTCATTGCTTCACAAATGACACTTTGATTCTGCAAGCTGAGGCTTTTTTGACATTTTGAAGGATAAGGAAAAGACTTATTTAAATATAAGTCTTTAACAGGTGTAAAAATTGACAGAGTTTAGCGTTAAGACAACCCTAACTGAAACTGTGGCCCTTTAACTGCTGCTCTGTGTTTTGGGGAATGTTACCCACCAAATAACCACTTGTGAGACTTTCTGAATTCAAGGGGCTATACTGTAATGTAGCTAGAAAGAGATCTCACGGGGAAGGAATCTAAGAGGAAAATGATAGGCATGTCATCTTAAGACATAAAAATGATATGCATCTTCTGGCTGCAGAGAGACCATTCCTTACCCTGGCAGCTGGAGAGAGCAGATTCAATATCTTTAGCAGAAAGGATGTCAGTGATGGCCATTGTTGAACTGCAAAATAAATTAAATGTGAGCTACTTAGTCATTAAAATGACTTCTCTACCTCTTTCATGGCTCTATTTGAAGTTGCTGCTGTGACAGTATATGATAGGGGAGACATTATTCATCTAATTGTAAGCGGAGCATACTGTAACAGATGTCTGCAGCAGGTGCTTCCACTTAAAGCTGGGTAATGAGGGAGGAATTCTGCATGCGGGAGTGTGGGGCTTCAGGAAGATCTGATGCCTGAACTGTGCTGGGAGAGCGAATCAAAGGTGTCTAGCACCACAAAACTTCATGACTTCTGTGTGGGTTTTCCTGGAGGTGGATTATTACTCAATTAAAATTGGCATATTTTTACAGCATACATAAAAGATAAGGCTCAGTATGTCCCCTAGAACTATATCTGGAATAAATGTAATGGGAATTTTAAAAATCTAGTATTATTATCAATAAATGTAGTGATCTTTTCAAAGAATGCAAATAATAGTGTAATAACAGTTCTACTCATTTCAAGGAGATCTAAATTTGGAGAGTAAGTTCCTCCTCTGTTTAGTTGCAACAATAAATGTAGCGACACTGTATATTTGGCTTGCTGGGCTGCTGCATCGTTAAAAGACTACATTTCATGGTAGCTTTATTAAAAAGTTTTCTTAAGTATGTTGTTTGGTTTGTTTTTTTAATTCCGTGTAGGTGATAATAAACCAGATTTTTATCCAGATTTTGGCATTTGAGTATATTGATGTGCTTACAACAAAGGTATTGAGACTTAATATTCATTCCTAGAAGAGTAGAGGAGGCGCTTTCTTCTGATACAGCAGCATTTGCCAAAAGATACTCTCTGTCCCATTCAGCCACCAACAGCTGCAATAGTTTGCCAACGTAATATATATCGCTTAAGAAAATGCTACAAGGCCTGAATTTCTAGTCAATTTTTTAATGTGAACACAGCATCAATGCATTTACAGTTTGGTAAACTGCACACATCAGTGCAGACTGGTTACAGTTTAAAACTTGCGACATTACTGTAAAGTAGCTTCATGTTAATGAGGGAAGGGGAACTAAGGTATAGAAAAGTTATTCTTGAAAGCCACAAGAGAACAGAAATATCTTTTCATGAATCCTTAACTGATCTTCAACAACATCATTCTTCCTGTCTAAGCATGGAAAGCAGCATTCATGGGAAGGAAACCAATGCCGGTAACCATTTATAGTCTGTGCGCTAGTTTGAGATCTACATACAGGTTTAAACTACCTAAAATAAGAAATGGCTGCCTCCGTACCTGTTGGTTTGCAGCAGAGGAAGTTGTTGGTCATTTCAGTCCCTTTCTGAGTATCTCAGAAGGTGTAAGGAGACAATGGGACAAATTCACGCTGATGGCAATGGGTACTTCTCCAGCTAAGGCAGATGAGTTACTTTTGTTTTGCTAGCAATTATTTTGTCCCAGTGGCTTCTTGTGCAAAGTACTTCCCCCTCTCAGCACTAGGCGAGATAATTTGGAGCTCTGCCATTCACCTAATTCTCACTACTGACAGGATTAAAAATGGGGAAGAGTTGAAGGAAAACCTAAAAATTGCAGCATTTTTTACAAGGGGCATCGCTCCTGTCTTTTTCAATCCTGTGATCTGAATGCTGATTCTATACTATGTTAGCTTGTAGAGATACGACTTACTGGAAGCTGATATAAGAATAGATACTTTAATTGCATAGGCGCTTTCCATTTAGGGAGCATTTTGCTTTTGTGTTTCTTTTTCTGAAAGCAGAGTATCTGATCAGCTTACCTTTGTGGTCTTCTTGACGGGATAAGGAAGCAATCTGGTTGGGAGGAACGTACTTGCTGTGTGTCTCCAGCAGAGCTGAGCTTGCATATATATACTTTAAGTTGTATACCATATACAGATTTTAGATTTCAGCGTCACGAAGGGGGAATGGTGTCAAATGAACTTGCCTAACTAATCATCTTGCACTATTTTTATCTCAAGAGAATACATATGATATTTGCAAACGAAACAAGATAAGTGGCCAGATAGGCGAAAAGGACAGAGTCATATTAAGTTTCTTCTGATTTAAGCAGAAAATACCAACTTCTCCATATGATGTAGGGCAGGAAAAAAAAACCCGCTATCTGATGTGCTTGATCCAAGGAGTCAGATGAAATAAAGCACTACTAACTTCTGAAGAGATGCCTTTAATGAATGTTTAAATGTGATAACTTGTTATCTTATCTGCAGACACTACATGTGATAGTTTCATCGTTAGAGCACTAAACAAAAAAAAAAATTAAAATATCCTGTTCAAATATTGTTAGTGTAGCAAACCATTTAGGGAAAATAATAGTCCTGTTGTCTCCCAGAATGTCTGGTCTGTTGTTATTTTGAAAAAAAAACCACACAGTGAATTTGTTGCTACAGGAGGTAAAATAATATTATGTCAATCCATTGGAACAGTTGGTTGGGGGAGGGTATTTCGTCTGGTATGTTTCCAGAGAAAATCTTAGAATTCTGCAAGGTTCTGACATCCTGTTTAGTCGCGTATGTATGAAGCAAAGGGGTTGTGATCTACCCAGCTGTCTCTGAGACAAAAGCCGCTGAGCCCTACATGAAAGATCTTTGCTTTCAGACTAGGGAGAAAAATTTTGATAGCAGCATCACTGCAGGGAACAATATGTGAACAGTGTCTTTGCAATTTTGTAGCCTACCTTCTGATCTCTCTTAGATAAGTGATTTTTTTAAAAAATTTTTTGGCCAGCACTGTTTCCAAGTGTTCCTTTGTGCTCGTTACTTTTTTTTTTTTTTAATAGCATAGAAACAATTTGGTCATCTCAATTTTCTTTCATGAACATTGTAGCCTAACTGGGTGAGGAGCCTGTCAGCTTGGATCTCACTTGTGGCTTGAGGCAGCAGAACAGTGAAAGACAAGTGATATGGATGACAGCACAAGATAGCATTATGGCTAGGGGTAAGGGATGGCAGGGGATGATAGTGCAATTGCCATCATAGCTTGAGGTGGTGGCACAGTAAGAGGTGACAGTGCAGAGACGGTCTTAATGTCAGAGAGAGTATCGAGACGTCTTTTTTCCAAAGCATTTCCCTCTAAGATGGAAGGCAAACCTAGCCAAGCACTGAAGCCAACCACTAATAAATCATAGTGTGAGGCAGAGAAAGTGGCAAATGGGATACCTACGAGACCTTACTGCATCCAACATTGACAGCAGCTGATGAAAAAGCAACAAAAGACTATTGCAAAAGATACTGTGTGTGGAGGGGGTGTTATTTAACTCACTGCATATAAACATAAGAAAAATTACTGCTACAAGTGTCTTTTTCTTTTTACAAATTCTGCATGTCTGTCCTCCATGAAAAAGTTTCAGACACAGATAATTCTTGTGAAGGGAAGAACCATTGGTTAAGAATGGCTGTGGAAGATTTCAGCTTTCCCAGTTTTCTGAATGGGTTGTTGACCAGCTGACGCTGAAAAATTTCAAGAAGAATTTGATGGATAGATATTTAATACTGGCTCTTGTTGCCACTGGTGACATCTGGCAGAAGGGATACAAATATCACTTTCCCCCCTCAAATTCTTCTAAGAAATTACTTTTATTCTACATTGGAAAAAAATTCCTCTCCCTTGCGCACACACCACCCTTTTCTCCCCCTCCAATTCGGAAAATTGCCTACATAGTGCCAACAACTGATGTGAAGTAAGTAGGGCGTCCAACATAAAAACTGATGGCATGATATGACCTAATGAAGCTAAGTTAAGAGGAAGGCCAAATTCTGCTGAAACTCTTGACTGCAGGAGTCTACATGGGAATTTGGTCTCTGGTGTCTATTTCAGAGAATGCATTTGATTTTAGATGCAATGGCTTCTCATTTTGCCCAGAGCTAATTCCACATATGTTAACCCCTCGCCCCCACTCTTCCCTTTAAAAATAGCATTGATTGCTGTTATTTCCCTTAATGCCTGTGGACTGTTGCCATTAGTTTGAACTTTTGTATGTGAATCACATAAGGATGCAGTCTTTAAAAGTGTGCTTTGTTTTCTAAGAGGCTTCAACAAGATGATTCCTTTTGTTCTGTGAAATTTTAAGGATAAAGCATGAACATCAAATGATTTATGGCTCTAGTCTGTTGAGCTGCATTCAGACTCCAGCAAATTTTGGAGTCACTTTTGCAGTGAGGTTGGAGGCACTAGAGATCCAGAACACATGCACTGGCTGGCAGGATGAACTGCACAAGGATCATGTAACTCTATTTACAACCAGCCTCCAACAACCATTTTATTTTCAAGCCCTACATTAGAGATTGCAAAAACATCTGTCTGGTCATTTTTACTTTCTTAAATCAAATACTGTTAGTAACTTTCCAGCTGCCATCCAACTTGGCAGGGAGAGGAACTGGGGAAGTATTAAACAGTAAGGAGAAGATATCCCTTTCAGGTTGTCAGGTTACCACTAAAAGCAGTTCTAAACCCTGGGACTTCAGCATTTTACTTTGCTGGAATCTCATTGCCTTCTAGAGGACTCTGTAATGGAATGCTCCTCTCTCGTTGTTTTATTCTTCCCATTTCTAATCTTAACTCTTATAACACCTGAAGTTACCTCCCCAGGTTAAAAAGCTATATTATAGGTCATCATAAGTTCTGTGATCATTCTATAATACATTTTTGTCATTCTTCTTTGAGGGCTGATGTGAATTGTATGTGCAATAGAATAACAAACCCACACTAAATGGTTGTGAATGCCTACTTTAATTTAAGTAAGTGTGATTTGCTGCCCTTGTATATGCCTGAGAACATTTTCCCTGAATGCTTATGACAGGTATATCCATAGTCACCAGTCAAGGAACAGAAATCACCTTATATAATGTGTTTAACCTATTGTCAAATGACATGTGAATTGTGAAAGTGGAATATTCATTCAGCTTGTAATTTGCTTTGGGAATATATGAGATGAAAGAAATTCTATGAATGTAATTTAGTGTAGTTGTATTAAAGCATCATGCTCCTGTCATTTGAGGAATGTAGCTCTTGGAGTGATCTGGAAATAATTGTGAGTGGTTTTAGGTTTATATTACTTAATCTAATATCTGTAGACACCTCGTAACTACCCCCCTGTAAAATGCTGAAAAAGAAAAACGCTAGAACAGTTGCTGTGGGGTGAGGAAGCTGTACATGGGAAATATACCAAATAACATCTGTTTCATTTTTGCAAACTTGACTGAATCACAAAAATTAAATACTTTATTTTTCAGCAGCTATCATTCTAGTGTCAAGTGGCTTCAACCTCTGAGGTAGATTTTCAGAGATTGTAAGAATTTACAATGTAACTTTTCAACTTCAAGTGCCCTTTAAAGTGCTAATTTACAAAATTTCTTCAGTCATATCTTTGTTACATGTGTAAAGCATAATTTTTAAGCCAATTGGATTGCGTACATAAATCAGACAATTTCTGGTTCTGCATATCTGAAATTTGCAAGAGAGAGTTTCAATTCTGATTCCAAAATTTGAAAGGAATATGGTCCAGCTGTAAAATCTATGTGATTTCTCAAGCTGTAGCTTGAGATTTTTGTTTCTGAACTGATACTTTCCAGTTCACTTCCATTTCTCTTTCTTTCTGAAAATGTTCATGCATTGATGCAGAAAGAAAAAGGATTGTTTCTGAAGACAAAAATTCACATAGAATGATTTCTGAAATGATAGATTCCTGGGTTAAATCTGATACGATCATTCATAAGTGGGCAAAATATTTGAACCTCCAGATGACTCTATCCATAGTTTAAAAATTACATGCTGCAAGTGTCAGAAAGCCTATAGAATAAATAATTTTCCTGCTTTAATTCTGAAGCAAAAAGCTTACTATTTTTGGAAGTATCCTAATAAAATTGCCAGTAAAAAGGTATGTGTGGGATAATCATGTTTTTTGAGTAGAAAATAAAATAAGTTCTGTCAAGGCATATCTTCTCCAGCTAAGTTGGAAGCGAAGATATATGCTGAAATCAGAAGTTCTATTCAATATTTGATCTACTATATTCTGTTCTTGAGCTGTGCTCTTCAACTCCCACCTGATAACATCCCTAAAGAGGGTCCTTGTTACAGGAATTGTAACATTAGTCTGTGTGTTTACACTGCGTAGCCCAGTGCTGTCCTGCTCCATGACTGTGGTTTATAAGCACTATAAATACTCATCAGTTGCAGCAGGCTTTCAAATATAGATGTGTTTGAAATTAACTCAGATGTTTTTGAGCCCGTGGGTATATTCTTGTATAGTCCTTATCACGCTGTGTACACAGTGTCTCCCACCATAAACAGAAACAACTCCTTGCAGTTATGTAATTGCAGGAGTGTGGAATGAGAATTGGGTCATTGTTCATGCATATACTAATCTAGTACTAATATTGCTGAATAAAGCAGTGCCTTTGATTTTTCTGGCAGAGTTGCTTGTCAAGGATATATATATATTTCAAGGATATATGGGTTTCAAAAAACCCAAATGCTAACTGACATAAAGTTGACTTAGAGATGTTTTTCCTGTGCACAAAGCCCATACCCAGTCTGATTTATCGGTGCGCGGTGAGGTGTGACTTAACTCCCTGCTCCTCCATTTGCTGAGCTCAGGAAATGGTCAAAACTTGTCACAGCCCCAGTCCAGCCTGTGTGCTTGGGCTTCTTTTCTATGGAAACTGGAGCGTGATAAGGGGCTGCTGTGTGTTTGGGTATTGTCCAAATGTGGCGTTCATGTCTCCAGGACACGCACGCGGACTCAGGAACTCAGAAGCATTCCTTCGTCCCTCGTTAGACATTGCCAACAACACTGACAATAAT